TCGCTGCGGCAGATGCTGGGAGCATATGCCAGGAATTAATTTCGCTTTCCCCGAGACGCTCCGGCGAGAGGAACGGCGGCGGGGCCTTTCCAACTGATTAACATAGGAGCTCCCTCCCCCCAGCCTCCCGTCACTGTGTCACACCGAATAGAACAGCCAGCAGGAGTCCCTGTAAGAGGCTCCTGGCTGGCAAGCAAGTTCTTTAATGGAAAGTTGCTGGGTCTGTCAGCTTTTATTTTCTACATTTTTTCCCCAGTGCTGTGTATGCTGCCTTTGCCCCAATATCCTCCCAACAATAAAGTGTATTCTAGTAAAACATCTCCACCAAGAAAAGTGTCCCTGCCCATGGAAGGGGAGATGGATCTAGATGATCTTTAAGGACCCTTCCAACCCCAACCATTCTATGATTCTATGAGTCTGTAATCCACCAAGAAAGCCTATAAATATTCTATTATTATAAACAAACCCAAGGATTCCTAAAACTGGCAGGACCTAGAATTAACTTTTCCTCTGCATACTTCTTTTACTTCATCTGTGATGAGTCTTACCATTTGCCTGGAGTAGCCTAGTGAGCCCTGTGCCAGAAAGAGCCTCTCTGTGGGTAGATATTTACACTTACCCAGAATCCCAGCAAGTCTCTGTGTAGACACCTCAGATCATTGGATGACACAAACTTGGATGTTTGAAAACCCTTGGTTTTCAGGTCTCCCTCAGCAATGTATAAAAAGAGCAGAACAAAGGGAAAGCAGGACACAGGACTGTTTACACTGAATTGCCAGCTTCAAACTGAAGATGGGAAACACTCACTGGGTATACAACAGACATGTTTCAATCAGACACTTGAGGTTTCTCATTTGTCACCCTGATCCTGGCACAGATTTGCAGTATGGCCCCGGGCACACCACTGCACCTCGTTTTACCCCTCTGTGATACAGGTCTGTGGAGATCAAGTAGGGATTATTGCTTGGCTAGGCACAGCCCAGAGGGCTGATCTGAGCTCCCAGGGGCTGGGTGCACTCTCCTGAAGACTGCTCTCACTTCTCACCTCACCCGAGGATCAGCCTTTACAGGCTACAAGAAAAAAAATAAATCACACCTGCTATTTCTTCCTTTGCATGCTCTTTCCACAGCCCTTTTCAGAAGTGCAGGTTCCTGAGGCAGCTTTGTCACAGCCAAGACACGCTGGTGCGTCACCACAAGCCAAGAGCTGGGCATGCAAAAGCACCTCATCATTTCTTTTGAGAGTAACCTGCTCAGCACTGCAACCAAAACAGGACTGTGGAAGGAAGGTGGGTGGGAACAGCTGGCTGGAGGAAGAGCAGAAGCTAGACACTCACCTCCCCTCTGCCAGCTGGGGGAAGAATTGAAAAGACATGGAAACGAGTCTCAGTCTATTAAGTTTATTGAAGGAAATTAAAGAGACAACTTGATCACAGTGCACATAACTACTGAAGCAAGGATCTGACAGCCTGGCTTAACTGGGAAGGTGATAGCATAAGCAGGCTCAAGGAAGAGAAGACGAAACTCAAAACCAGAGTCACAAAATAAAGCAGATTTTGAATCATGAGGGCAATTATCTACTAGGGAAGACTTTCAAATACCCTGCCCGCCCTTCTAAGAGACGGGCGAAGCTCAGTCACATCTCGCTGGACTCTGCCATGGCCTGTATTATAGCAGGTCAGACCAAATCATCAACGCCACCTCTTCCTGCCTTAATATAGACAAGGCCATGATTTCTTTTCAAGCCCTCCTCTCAAACTCTGCCCAGGTATTTGCTGGGTTCCCAAGGTCCCATAGTGAGCACAGGCCTGGGACCCCACAGCAGCCTCCCACCCCAGAGCATCCCTGCCCAGGGCACCAAGTCAAAGGGGTGCTAGACAACAGCACCCAGCCCTGAGCACACTCCTCTGGGAATTTTATGCAGCTTTAGAACAGCTCCTCCAGGTGTAACGTGACCACACCTCATCAGCAAAGGCCTCATTCTGCTCCCACTATGCTCCTCTTGTGCTCTGTTCTCTTCTGTCTCTCTACCAGCACCTGCTCTGGTCTCGCCTTCAAATTTCATGCAGTGTTCCCAAATCACTAAACCTCCTTGTTCCTCTTGCCCCTACCCTGCCTCCTCTACAAAGCCCACTCTTGCTCCTGGCCTCCTCCGCCCTACATCTGCCTCAAATGACCCACCCCAAGTCCTCCCCCATTCCTCCCTCTCAGTGTCTCCAGGAGGATCTCCAGGGTTCCATGTCCCTCCTGCTCTTGTTTCAAGGGGTACTTTCCTCTTCCTCTTGACTCCTGAGAGGCCTCTGTGGCCTCTGAGGGGCTGTGCACCTCTGCACAGCTCAGCTCCACTTCTCATTCCTCCCTGATGGGAGAGCAGTCATAAAGGAGAGTTCTGCCTGCCCAGGGTGATCAGAGCAGCTCTTGGAGGCAGAAGATGGCTCCGTGAGCATTCCTGGAGACAGCACAGAAATGCTGGTGCAACATACAGCTGCTAGAGGAGCAACGGGCTTGGCATAACTCTTGCACAGACCACTCAGTGGCTACTGTCCTAACTACTGCTTGGTTGTCTACTCTTAGTGCTCCACGTGGCCAGAAGTGCCACCTCCCCAAGACTCTAAAGAAAACAAAAAATATAATATGCCACCTATCACACACCATACCTCAGGCTGGGCAGGCTCAGATCAAGTAGAAGGAGAGAACCCCCACTAGATTGGCCTATAGTTTGCACCTGAGAGGAGAATGAGTGCCTCTGCTTTCTCTGGGATCTTTGAGGGATGTAATTGAGCAGGTCCCTGGCCTAACCCATCCTCCTCCTCCACTTACTATTCTCTTCCTCTCAGACTGGCTTGTTAGGTTTGTCTGATTTACTATATTAGTTTGATGGGGTTTTTTTCTGGAATGTGTGATGCATTCTCAATTCTTTTTGGCCAAGAACCATAGGTGTCACAGAAAAATAAGTACTAGCTCAGGTGGGTAGTTTCTGTTCATACCAAAACAAGTTTCTCTACTCAGAAAAAGACCACAGGATTATCCTCCAGACACTGGCCTCTCACACTTCTGTCTCACCTAGTTTTCTATTTATAGTGGAGGTTTCTTGGTTGTAAAAAACAGCATCTCCTTGAGACACAGGAGCCTCCCCTTATTTTGGTGGCCCCACACTGGGACCCAATTGCTTCTCTCTTGTTGGTAGAACTGTTTGAGATCAGAGTTCCAATCAACTCTGATCAGAAATTTTGGAGAGAACTGAATTCACAGCGAGTTATTTGACTTGTCCTGCTGTCAGTGCCAGAGTGAGAATGCAGTGCTCTGTTAGACCAACCACACAAGGCAAGGAGAGCAGCACAGCAAGCCTTCCCCCAGCACCTGCACTGCCCCCCTGAAGTACACAGCAAGATTCTCCAGCGGGGTAAGGCTTTGAAGGACATTGGCGTAGAAGTAATGTTACTGTTTACTGCAAATAATGACCAGGGTTCTATGGGGACAATGCATTAAAAGCTAAATGGATTTTTCTTTAGATGATGATAAGAGTGGGATACTTGGTTCCAAGGAGTCACCCACCAGGGAGTTACCTCGTTTCAGAGCAGCAGGCTCCATTCTTTCACACACGTGGAATAAACAGTATTTTCTTTGCAAACTGCCTATTGCCTGAAGCTATCTCTGTTCAGTCTGTGATCTCATCTGATTGCAAAAGCTATGCAGGGTTAGGCCTGGTCAGAATGCAGCTGGGAAACCTCAAGAGAAAAAAGGTGCTGTAAGAAGTGGTGTTGGCAGTTCATTAGGTGATGCTGCTTCCTCCGAGTCAATATAGAGGTAATGTTCTAGGGGAGAGGTTAAACTAACAGGGCATGGCTGGAGGCTTCTAGATGAAATGTAAAATGTATATCCTGCTAACTTGTGGCATGTGTTGTGAGGAAGACAGTAATCTTGATGTCACACTCCACTGTAAGATGGTCCACTCCAGAGAGGTTGCATTTCCACCAAAGAAAGACCTACCATTGCAGTTACCTGTAAAGGTGCTAGTGAGGTGGAAGTCACTGTTCATAAGTAATTCACTATATTAAGAATTTTTCATCTCTTGAAAACAAAGATTCTTATCACAAAATACCCAAAACTTCTTCCGAGCCAGTTTTCCTATGAAGCAAGGTCCTATTTATTTTCATATCTGAAATAAATTCTCAAATACAAACAAGTTAATAGAAAATTAAAATGCTAAAACTATTAGCAGGAGATACATGTATGAGATGTCTGGTGTGCCAATGCTCTAGTGGAGACTGAGGTGGTCCTCTCTCTCAGACTGTCCCAGGTCCCACTCAGTCATTAGCTCTGAGGACACCTCTGTGAAGAGATGGCTCCAATCCCAGCTGACATCATCCTACCAAGATAAAAGAGACAACCATGCTGAAATTCACTTGGCTAGAACAGGAATCCTAGCCAGAATGAAATATGAATCCCTGCTACAGTTTAAGATGTTGACAGAATCGTTCATGTTCCAAAATTCTGTAAAGGAACTTTGGATACTTGTTCATCCTAGATACTCCCAGGCAGGGTGTTAAGAGAAGCCATAAAAACCTTCCACCCTCCTGTACTTCTGCTGAAGCATCTCCAATTCTGAGCTGCAGAAATCATTTGCTGCAAGTCCTGAGTGCCTGCCTGCCCAGTTCTACTGAGGTTGTTCTGTCCTGCTTTAAAACATCCCTTTGCCCAAACCCCAAATGGTTTCTGCCTTTGTCCCTCTATACCACCCTGTAGAACCACCTGGAGCTCATGGTGGCTACCAGAAGACAATACACAACGGAGCACTTTTTCTGCAGGGATCTGTGACAGTGCTAGGCTCTTTACATTTTCTTTACTAGCTCTTTCCTACTGAAGGGGGCGAATCACACTGGTGCCATAATGTCACACTGAGAAAGCCCTATATATCTTTAAAATAACCTGTTGTGGAAACCAAACCTCGATGAGCTTGACCAAGCTCTTCCTCACCTCCCCCTGCTACCCCACTGACAAAGGCTTACTTTCCAAGTACAACCTGAGACACGTAAAAAGCTTTTGCCTTGCTGGTGTTCCCACAAAAGAAAGACTTACCTCTCGTAGTTCATGCTCTGGTGCCAAAACTTTGGTGAGAAGCTTCAGGTCAACCTCTCCGTCCTGTGAAGACACACATAGAGTCACAGTCTTACGGACAGTGAAAAAGTGGACAACAGCATTTCCCCAAGTAGGTCTTGCTAGAGATAGACACATCTGTCTCGTAAGGGACATATGCTTTGTCCAGGACAACAGCAGGAGTCTCACCTGAGCAGCAGACACCATACCCACACTAGACACAAACACGCATGAAAGCCACACCGCAGCGAGGAACAGACCTGCAGGCTCACTGCAAGTTTTTTGGCTGTATATTTTATGTAGCTGAGTATCACTGTGGAGGATGATGAGAGCCTGGAAGAAGAGGGAGTCAATCACTCAACAGCAACATCCACTTACCAGAGTCTGAAAAGCAGCATACTTCATTAGATCTTTGTCCAGGTCATGGTAGGTCAGCACTCTGTTCACCTGCACACTGCAACCAGAAAGGTTCAAAGTGCGAGCCTGGGTAAGCGTGGAAGCACATCCAAGGGGAAAGGTGCCATAACCATTAGTCAGGTGACACCTGCCTCAAGTGTCCACATCACCTGTGTGGGCTCTTGAGATGGATGTCCCCAGACAGAAGCACATCTCATTCAGCAAATGAACAGTCATTGACAAATCTGCATGCCAGGTTGTGCACGTGGGGCACAAAAATAGGATGTGGAGCAAGCACGGACTCCCTCAGAGAAGCCAGCATGCCAGAGAAAAGTTCCACAGACTAGCTGCGAGGGCCAGAAAGAAAACAGCAATGTAGTCAACAAACAAAGGCAGCACCATAGCAAAGCAGGCTCTGAGAGCCCCACCGTATGGCCCACAGAACAGCAGGGACTTTGTGATTTGTGTCTGAGCCGAGTCACAGCTGTCAAACACAGTTTCTTAAAAATGTAGCCTTTAAAGAGAAAAACAGTGGAGGAAGGTTGTACGCTGTCATGCCACGCATCCCTGCGTGATGCAGTACTGTAGCAAAGACCTATATTAATTTAATTACTGTTTGTGTTTGTCCATGAAAATGACTTGTCTTTTCTATTGCAGGGAGACTATGGATATGAGAGGAACAGATGAATATTAAAAAAAAGAGAGAAAACAAAGAAACGAACTCTGGTGAGAGACAAAGTAACTTTAAATTTACTACTATGAAGTGTCATTTATTTTTGTTAACAGCTATTTAATTACAATAATTACCCCATACTTGTGAGAGAGGCATCCGTGGTCAGCAGTAAGGTGTTCCACCCCTCCAAATAAGGGTCAACAGAAATCCCAGTCTGTGATCTTGGCAATAGGCCAGAGGAGACTTTCCTGATATGTTTAAGATACCCCCCCAACTTTCATTATTTAAAACTTGCTAGTCTCCCCTGAGCTAACCCCAAGACTACTCTGATAACACCTTCAAACAACAGGATTGTACTTTGCAAATTAGATAGGCACTTGAGTAAAACGGATCTCCTCTGGAGGGCAAAGCAGCCTACGACTGCATAATCCAAGTCTGTGTGATAATGCACATGTACTGGAGGCATTTGAGGTCATACAGGAAACCTTAAATCAAGCAGTTCCTCACTTTTTAGAGTTTGATTTTGCAACATCAAGTATGTTACTCTCAAGTAGGTTTTTCAGGAAGAGAAAGAATATGCAGTAATTCCTTTCTCTGTATAATAGGAAACAAGAAGCTTGCAGTCTTTAGCTTGGAGCCCTGCTGCCACAATACACAGCACCAAATGCTGCTGGCATCCAGAGATCCAGAGAGCACAAGATAAGATGGAGTTTCATTTTGATTTTGCAACATCAAGTATGTTACTCTCAAGTAGGTTTTTCAGGAAGAGAAAGAATATGCAGTAATTCCTTTCTCTGTATAATAGGAAACAAGAAGCTTGCAGTCTTTAGCTTGGAGCCCTGCTGCCACAATACACAGCACCAAATGCTGCTGGCATCCAGAGATCCAGAGAGCACAAGATAAGATGGAGTTTCATTTCCCCAGCCATTTTTCATGGCTGCTGAGAGCCTCCAGAGTACCTGGCAGTGCTCTTACCTGGGGGGAGCTGCTACTTGCATGGCCAGATCTTCCTCCTGGACTTCCTCCAAGTCAGGAATCACGGGAATGTCTGCAACAAGAGAAAGCAGCAGCAGTAAGTGGAGAGTGTTGTGCTCTCCTCTCACTGGAGACAAAGGTTCCATTACTTCACAGATATGCAACAGCCTGTTTCAAAAACACCAGAGAGTTATTTAGCAAAGATTAAAAATATATTGTTTAATGCTAAAACAAGGCAATAAGGTTTTGAAGCCCAAGATCAAAAGAAATCTTGCAAAAGGAGCAGATTTGGGCTGGGTGAGATTCCATAGGCAATGGATCATGCATTTGAACACAACCTTGAAGCTGAAAGAAGTCAGCTGCACTAAACCCTGCTGCCTGCTTGCCCTCATAGTAAGACTGGCAAGAATTTGCTTCTGATGAGAGGTGTTATCATTTGCTCGGCTGCCAGTCACATAGACGCTGTTAGAAATGAAATGTGGGGCAGAAACTGAGAGAAGCCACGTAAAACTAAATGTTGAAGGAACTGCTGGCAGGGTCTGAGGCTGTGCGAAGGCCTGTGACCTTTCTGATGGCTGAGGAAGGAAGTGCTGGTGGTCTAGCAGATGCAAAACCTAGGGTGTAAGATGCATCTAGCTGTAATGTCCTAAACCTTTTCATGATGCCCATGGCGACCCTGGAATGGCTGATGTCTGGGTCACTGCATACTCCCAGCACAAGTAACTACGGTTACTCCACCTAAAAAAGGATGCTAGAGACAAAAGAACAAAGGATAGGAGGAAGAACTGAGCGTACACTGAATCCTGCTAAGGGGGAGAGGTTCTGAGAGGATCACAAGCTTTTTCATTTGAGAAAGTGATGTTAACAGTTAGAAAAAGAGAGCAAAAAAAGGAAAGCAGAAGAGAAGAGAGCGTAACTGGAGGCACAAGGCAAGGACAGAATACAGCAGCACAGAGCTCCCTTACAGACTCAAGGCCAGCCCTGTGCAGCCAGGCCCTGGCACTGCAGCTGCTCAGACCTGGCCATGCAGGGGGATGTCTCACTCATTGGCCACCTCGCCACCAGAGCCTGGTTGCAGCACAAGGCAGCGACAGCTTAGCCAGCCTCAGCAGAGCTGTGCCTTCTAGGAGCAGGTGCCTCCAGCCACAGCAAGCTTCCCAAAGACAGTTAAAGGGAAACTGCAGCAACAGGGCTCGGGCCCCAGGCTGTCCCTTAGACAGAGGAGACATGTACAAGAACTCCCTCACCACTGCCTTGCTGGGCATGTGGGGCAGATCTCCCCCCAGTCTGTTTGTAAGGACAATATGCAGTAGAAGGTGCTATCCCTCTGGCTCTTCCCTGCAAGGGCTCCCAGCTCTTGGTCAAACTGGTAGCAAAATGCAATTACAGGTCAAAAGCATCTCCACGGACAGACAGACTTGTGGAGGCAGCTGGTAAAACCTGCTCAGGGATAATATGGGAAAATGTCTCTGTATATAAGTAACAAGGACCAAGGAGGGAACAAACTGGTGAGACTGGCCCAAGGGGAGGAATGAAGCGCTGTGCAGTGGTGCCCTGGTTAGTCCAGGCAACTGAATATGGGAATGAGAAACAATCTGCTCTTTCCCAAACTAATTTATCCTGCAGGAGATTATGAATGTTGCTCAGCAAACACAACTAAATGAAGAACTACCTGGGAAGAGAGCTACCCTCATCTATGGAGCAGCACTCCCCACAGGAGAAAGTCAGATCTTTATCTTCTTTCAACAGCAGCAATGTGGAAGGTGCTTGCAGCAAACAATTTCTTCAGTCAGTGCTCATTTTGGCAGCTATTTCTGGGCTATCCTCTTCCCAGTTCCCTTCTGCTTTTGTTGATCTCTTTTAGCACTGGAAAAAAACTGTAAACTTAGGATTCGTATCAGTGATGCCCCTTCCATTTCGCAGGTTCCCAAAGACTCCTAGATTCTCCAGTGCTGATTTTACCTTATTGCCATTGAATTCCACAGAGAGATTCCCCAAACCCTTGCAAAGTGCTACCTCTACTCTGTATTAGCAAAATCCAGGCAATCACGTAGAAATTCTTTCCAAAAGAAATTCAAGACTCTGATATTTTACAGATGCTTTGAAAATATTTCAGACAGAAGAGCTGGGAACACTCTGGGGGCTCCTGCCAGCCCCTCCAACAAAGGCCAGTGCATGCTTGCTCTCCCTGCAAAGTGTAGATGATTTGTCCATTTCTAGGCAAGAGCAATGCCCTTTAGGACTGTCAGAGACTGACAGGAAACAGAACAAAAATGTCGCAAATTATAAGAAAATAGCCGCTCCCCAGGCTAGCTGCTATCAGTGGCAAATCAGCCCTGAAATATTTGGGTCTTTATTTCACTCATTACTCATAATTTCCTCTTCACTCTGCCAATTCCCACAGTACCACCTCACCACAATCCCTCTCCTTTCTCTCTCTGTACAGCTTGCAAAGTGTCTCCGTTCTCACTTTATCACCAAGGTGCCAACCTTTCTCCTCACTCAGTCTCCAGCCCCCTAATTGTTTTTGTTGCTCTTCTTAGGACTCATCTTTTTTCCCAGGAAGCTCTAGTAACACAGCCAAGTCACAGCACTATGTCAACTGCAGGGGCAAGAACCACACAGGCTATTGTGCTGCCAGACTGTAGGCATATGCTTCACTTTAAATATTCCCATTAGCTGCAGCGAGACTGCTTCCTTTAGCATTAGCACATGCAGAAATGTTTGCAGGACCATGTCCTCCCAGTCTCCCACTGCAGCTCTTTCCAATGAGAAGGTTATGTTACAAACCCTCACTCTGTGCTTTGCTTTGTGACCCACACCCCCTCCTTTTTAGTGGGGAGGGGTTCTGATAATTTTTCACAAGGCTGTGGGTTTGGTGCAGGTTCTTGGCACATCCTTTACCACCCAGACCCTCATGCCTGAATTCAGTGCTCTTGTAGGTAAACCTTAGCAATGACTGCACAAGGTGCCTACATGCCAAGGAGCTGCCTGTGTGCAAAAGGAAACGCCTTCCCAGGTCACCACATCAAAGTAAACAAATGGCCTATGCATTACAGAAAGAAAATGTTTTGCAGCTGAGAAGATGGGGTAGCTTCAAAACCTGGAAACAAAACATTATTCTCTGCAGTCCAGTTACAGGTTGCAGGGGCAGGGGTGTGTGGCTAATTCAGCTGCATTTTGGAGGAGAGAGTAGCTTCCATACTGTCTTTAGCTTCAATTGATTTTAATCAAAACTATAGGCAAATCTCAGAAACAACATGAAAATCTTACAGCTTCAGCTGTTCTTCTCCCATTTTCACATCCTTTTCTGCAGGCTTTAAAATCAAAACAAACAGATGATACTAACAGTAAGAAACAAAATAAAAGTTGAGTAACTGGTAAAAAATATTAAAAAGGGGACCAAATTGAGTACAAACCATCCTACCAACCTCAGTCTCCCTGCTGGCCTCCGGACACTGTGCTATAAGGTACCGTTACCTGTGGCAGCTCCCTCAACCAGTCTCCCCCAGACAGAACTCCTGTGGATCTCCATTTCATATGGCAATTAACATTCCCAGAGCAAGTGCTAAAAATGACATTCACTCTCCTCCTGAGACTGAGCATCATGTTTTCATTTTAGCTGAAGGGAGGAGAGAACAGGTAGACACACACATCAGGTAGCACTTTACAAGGAGAAGAAATTAGTATATGCAACAGAAGCTGCAGGGGAAAACATAAAGCCTTAGTGCATTTTGTGACCTCAAAGAGGTCTGGATGAGGCTTCTCTTTATGGCTCAAAATGAGCAGGAACAGAGTTAACCCAAAGCCTTTCCCCATAGATTTCTCAGCTTTCTTGTAAAGAAACAAGATGTTGGCTTTAGAGACTGCTCATGGCAGAGATGTGAAATACTGACTGAGCACCAAATGCTAGATGATGAATGCAAATTCTCCTTCATCTCCCAAATGATGGTGAACAAGAGTGAACAATGAAACTAAAATGAGTGTATCCACGCAGAAGTTACGGTGGGGTAGGAGACACCAGTACTAAATATTGACTAACAGGGAAGTTCTAATATACTACACCAAAGTGTCTCAGAGCACCTACATCCCAGCATGTAAGAATTTTTATTACAACAGTTGAGCTGAGCTAGGTCTTACATAAAAGAGCTTCACAGGTAAGTTATAGCAAGACACCAACAGCACAAGACAAAAGTGTGTGGATGGCAGGAGGAAAAGGTGAAAGAGAAAGACTGAGGGCAGCCCATGTAGATGGCCAAACAGTCAACAAGGAACAGTAACTTTTTAAGTCACAAACAAAGGCAGGCTTTATAGGTTCATATTAAGAGTATATGCAGTAACCATCACTTTTTTTACCTCTTAGCAAATAACTTATTGACAGCTGAAGAAGGAAACCACAAGCAGAAGGTGGAAGAACCTGCATCACTTTAATACTCAGTTGCTCCTGCAAGCTGATGAGCTGCACTTCCCCTCCCAGGAAGAGCTGATTTTTGGTTTAGTAGCAACACCTGCAGGCTGGATCTCTGAAAATCCTGCAAGCTCACAGCAAGATCTGGTCCCAGCCCCAAAGAACTAAGTTCTGTTAGATAGAAGACAGCACCTAAGTGGGGGACGGCAGAATCTGTTCAAGGTCAGGCAATAAATCAGCAGCAGAGCTGGATCTAGAAACCACGTTCCAGGTCAGGCCTGCAGTTAGTCAGCAGCATGGCTCCCACTTTCTCCCTGAGCTGCTTTAAGAGTCTCTTCAGCCAACACCCTAATGCCAAAAAAAATGACTCCAGCTCACGCAGCCGGATTCGCTTCCCCCAGCCAGGTGAGCATTTCGAAGGCCGGTTCAGAGCGCACACTCGCAGTGGGGCACGTGCCGCCCTCCCTGTCCCGACACCACCAAATCCAGAGAACGCAAGAGGGTCGTGGCAGGAGCACAGTCCCTGCCGCTACGCAGGCGTACCAATGAAACTAACTCTAGTGTTTAAGTTGCTTGCTCGTAAAATGTAAAACTGAAATAATTACAGTATCTCTGCTGCTGCAAAACTTTGTTTTACTGAATGCTGTTACCTTCTGTACCACGTT